CCCCAAAACCCCAAAACCCCAAAACCCCAAAACCCCAAAACCCCTTATCTTTTATGGGAGATAGAAAGTCTACTTTTTAATATTAACACCTCCATAGCCTACTAAAGTGCTTGTATTGCTCAAAAAGCCATGAGCTTTCAGCATTTTAGACATTGATGAGTTTCTCTTTATTTTCATCTTAGTGCTCAAGCTCTATGCGTTAAGAAATGATTACCATCTTTTTCTTCTTGTGGATGCGATCAAAAGAATTATCTGGAGCATTTTGTATCCCAAAATCATAATACTTCAAATCCTGGCTTTTAGCATCATAACTCATGAAGTGCTTATGTTTGCCAAGTTTAGAATGTTTAAGTTTTCCTTTGTACCCTTTCCCTATATAGTCTAAGTCATGAGATTAGTTGAAGCAGCATGATTACCATCCATCTCTTTTGCAGACCCTTTGTAGAGTATTGAGTTCTGAGCTGAACTGTAATCTCGAATTTTCTTCCTTTCTTCAGTAGTGTCAGTACGCGCATATTTTGTTCTAAGAGCTGATTTCATAGTCTTTCTTGTATTCGACTTCGGCAAATTCACGTATTGTTTGAGTTTCTCAAGGTCCCCATGAATATAAGGAGATTTACCATCTTTTCTAAAGACAATACTCTTGTTTGCAATATGACTCTGAGTTTTTCCAGGGGATTTTGTTGAAGCTGCTGGGATTATAAATTCTCCTCTTCCAATGTTGTTAGGGCCTTTAATGTTTCTACTATTAAAGAGCTGAGCGGAATTTGAGCTGCTTTTTCCTCCACTATTAGTATTAGCACTATTAATTTTGTATTTGTTCTTTGATAAAGCTTTACCCTTTGAAATCAGTTTCATTAATATTCGGTGTTATGCCTCCAGAATGGAAATTCTTTGTTTTGGCCTTGCTGAATTTTTTTCAAGCTTGCTATAATTTTGAGTAGCCTCTTTTAGAGTAATTTCTAAGCTTAAGATTTGTTCAATCTTTTGTTCTAGTGACTTCTTCAAAGCTTTGTTTTCTTCTTTTAATACTTTTGCTTCGCATTTCATTGTAATTTCCAATTCTTTTAATCTTTCTTCTAAAGTTTTTATTTTAGTTCAGGATTTGTCAAAAGCTTTTTCTTTATCTTCTAATTTGTTAAGAACACTATCTGAATGTAGCTTCATCTGTTGCTCTATTCTGATATGATTTCTAATATCATTCTCATACTTCTGAATCACCTCTTCGTAAATAGTTGGAACATGAGTAAGAGATGTTCTATTGCTAAAAGGGATAAAAGAACTAGATGACTCTAAAGCTCCATTTAATAAACCTTCATTTTGTGAAGAGGTAGTTTTAAGCTGCTTTTCCTCCTTCTTTATTCCAGCTCCTCCTGTCTCTTTAGGACCTTCTTCAAGATTGTCAGTTTCTATTCTCTGTCCCTTTTCTGAAATGTCTTTAGAGTCTTTTGTTTGGTAATGATTACTGATGTTTGAATCGTCAAGTCTTTTAGAAATCTCATCTTCAGGTTTAACTGCTCTTTCTTTAAACTCTTCTTTCTTGTATTTTAGTTTATTACCTATTCTGCTTTGAAAGCTCTTTTTCTGTGATAAATAGTCTTCAATTTTTATATTCATGAGTATTTCAACTGAGGTCTGAATATAATTAATTAAATCTAATGGGCTTGTGATGTACAAATTATCTCTTTCTTTGGAAAAATCCTCATTATTATATTCATTTATCTCGTCTTTAGATCGGACTTTGACATTTAGGTATAAATCAATAAGAGCTTCTTGAATAACAGCCATAGCGTCAAGCATATCATTGTCTGTCTTACTGTTTTCCTTTGTCATTTTGAATTTCAAAAGTCTTATTCTATTGAATAATTATTTATCGGGGTTTTGGGGTTTTGGGGTTTTGGGGTTTTGGGGTTTTGGGG